CCGAAACCCTACTTTGAGCGTTGCCGGAGAATCCACCACTAGTCGATCGGACAGCGGTGGCTAGATGTTTAAAGAATAAAATAAAGTTTGTCGAGAAAAAGTAAAGAAATATATTATTTATGTATTAAAAACGTGACCCTAATGAGGGTTTTACATATGTTTGTATAGGTGAGTTAATATTCTAGATATTTTTCTATTATCAAGAGGCGGGTAATCAACCAAATCTCTAAATTACACGTTTCCTGATTAACTTATCCGATTTTATCTCCTTTCCTTGTATAAGATATCTTCTTTCCTTCTTCTTCGAGTCTTCCCATGCAGTTCGCGCCTTGTCATACGAGCTAAGGCCTAATTTGTGCCACCAATTCGTACAAACCCCTCCTGCCCAGCTCGTGTTTCCTCTTCTAGGATACTTCCTTGGGCCCAGCTCAAGCCTGCCAAAATGGACCCCATCTCCACTACAAATAATACATTGACAACTACCCATATCGCTTAAAAAAAAAGTAAAAGTGATAACTTTTCTAATTACATTGGACTGCAATTTTTTATTTTTTTATTTTATGATTTATTTATTAAAAAAAAGGTTATGAAGCATAAAGGGCAATTTTTTATTTAAACAAAATTAGAAAACTCTAGCTAATAATAATTGATTAATAATAAAATAAGGGAAATAGGTCTGCAAGGAAATAAAATCAATATAGTTCTGCGGCCTTAGCTCCTTCTCGCCCCTCTCGCCCCTCGCGATAGCTAAGTCAGCCTCTCCCGAATGTGTGTGTTGCGAATACTTAAGTGATGGAAAACGAAAGAAAGAAATTAAGAAGACAAAGAAAGAAATTAAGAAGACAAGAGAGTTTGTAAATGTGTTGCGAATACTTACGTGATGAAAAACGAAAGAAAAGAAGACAAGAGAGTTTGTAAGAAAGTACTGCTTGAGTGCTTATTGTATTTCTTGGATTTTTGTTGGATGATTACAAATGAGGACCCTACCTCTATTTATACAAGACCACCTCCTCAATGGAAGGTGGAGATCGATATGATCTAACGGTTGGGAGTGGAACACTCCAAAGAATCCCTAAAATGTCTCTACCTACCACCACCTACATTTACCTACCTCTATACATTTGGGCCAACTTGGGCCTAACCCTAATTTGGGCTAAATCTTGGACTCTTTAACCTCCCCAACCCAAGGGAAACTGGCAAGGGGTTGGGTCAAAACTAGCGGGCCGTGACAACGCGTCCCAATCTTGATTTTTCATATAAAAACTTCAAAGGAAATAGAAAAATATTTCTATCTATTATGGACAAGACTTTATAGCGCTACTATGATCGAAGGTTGTGCGTGGAGGAATTCCACCTTTCTATATCGCTAGGTGATTTGTTTTACGATTTCGACCATGAATCGGCTCCGGTTTCTTGAAAAATGGATCCCGTTACTCACGAATACGAGCAGTGGCGAATCCATGATGAAAATTCAGGGTATGCCGGTTGTGCCGAGTTACTGTGTAGTGGGGTTAAATTTTTTGGCTGCCCCCAGAAAAAAAATTTGAACCTTTTGTTGTTGGATAAATTAGGAGAAGGGAAAAAAATTTAAACTTTTTTTTTTTTTTTTTTTTTTTTTTGTTTTTGGATAAATTAGGAGAAGAAAAAATTTGGGACTTTTTTTGTGTATTTTGAATTTTGGGTGGACTAAATAATAATATAGATATAATATAATGTGTTTTTGGGGAGAGGGGCTAAAAAAATAAGAAAAAATCTAGGACTTTTTTTTGTATATTTTGAATTTTGGGTGGACTAAATAATAATATATATATAACATAATGTGTTTTTGGGGAGAGGGGCTAAAATAAAGAAAAAAGTTAGGACCTTTTTTGTATATTTTGAATTTTGGGTGAACTAAATAGTAATATAGATATAATATAATGTGTTTATGGAGAGGGGCTCAAAAGAAATTTAAACAAAAAAATTAAACAATATTCTTTTGTACCATAATAGAGTCAAACTCATGACCTTATCTAACTAGATGGAAATCTTTCCCACTAAGGCAAATTTATTTTCAATGTTTGGGGTGGTCCACGGAATACTTGACCACCCCTAGATCCGCCCCCGAATACGGGTATGAAGAAGTTTTGTCTTTCTATTCGTACAAGATGGAACACCGGTCGCGTTCAACTGCCTCCTGTAGTCTTTGGAGCAAATTCACTCCGCGATTTGCACGTGGAAAAATTCAGCTTGGACCGAATGGCTATTCAAAGTATAGTATTCTTGAATCATCTAAAATCACTTCGTCTCGAAAAAGTCTACATCGAGGACGAGATTTTCGAGAAGATAGTCTCAAACTGTATTCTTATCGAAACTTTGGTCGTGAAATATTGTGAGAGGTTGAGCACAATCAAGGTGAATGAATCAAGGTGAATGATCTTCGCAGTCTCAAGTACTTCGTCTTCAAAGTGTCTCAGATAATCTTAGCTCACGGACTTTGTCCCATCGAAGTACATCCCCCGTCTCTTGAAACCATCAACATTCGTGACGGTAATCTTCGGTTCTACGAAGGAGCGGATTTTCGTAATCTCATAGATTTATCTCTTTGCTGCGTGGAATCGTCAGTGGACCACTTGTCGTCGTGCAAATTCCCGAGTCTCAAATACTTGAACATTTCCGGTTGGCCGGGTCTCAAAGAATGCCAGATATTTATTGATGCCCCAAACATACACAGTTTTGATTTTAATGAAAACTTTGTCCCGTCCATCTCTTTTGCCGCAACTTCCGGCGAGTGGGATTCGGTGATACACGTAAACTTTGAGCTTTCACAGGTTACTTCTTCGTGGTTCCTCAACATAAAAGAACTGCTCAAGTCATTAAGCCAATCCTGAATTTCTCTAACTCTTCATCAGATTAACTTTTCGTCGTGGCAAGATTGCCTCAGCAGCGACGAAAAGGATAGGGAACGTGTCGAGTGTCTGTGGTTTTGAGATTTGGAGGAAGTTAGAATGGAGATTTATGACAAGAATGAAAAGAAATGGCATACGATACAACTGCCGAACAACGATGAACAAAGAGGATATCATTCTATTCGCTTTGCATTGAAATGGAGACAAACTTTGTGAGTCCTTTGAGTCGTAAGTTTCATTAAATTACGCATTGAGCGAATTTTACGCATGAGTTGGTAGTCGACGAACCTTCGTTGCTTTCAATTTTGTTTTAAGTTCTATCAACGAGCCCAATTTTATTTCATTATTTCTAGATTGAGAGATTAGTTTTTTATGTCGAACTTAACTATGCGTGTGACCCTTTTGTGCTTGCATTTATCAATTTCAAGGGAATTATGAGCTAATATTGCGAGTAGAAGGGGGTTTAAGTGCTATTTACCTAAAATTAAATTCAAGCAAGTGATGACCGAAAAATGCTAAAAGTTTACATGTAAAAATTTTGAATTTTGCACTAGACATGGCCACGGGCCGGTTCCGGGCCGGTTCAAGCCGGTTCACGGTACACATTTTCCGGAACCGGAACCGGCCCGTAGTATGGGCGGTTCAGCGGGCCGGGTCGGCCCGAAAATTTTGATTTTTGATTTTTTTTTTTTTTTTTTTGAAATATTTTATGAATAAGTAAATTAAAAGAAGTACTTTTAAATAGAAAAAAGAAAAAGGAAATAAATGAAAAGACTTGAACTCAATTTTAAAGATTTCGAATTTATAGGAAAAATTGGGGGGGGATTCAAAAAAAAGTAAATAACGGCCGGTTCACCCGGGCCGGTTCAGGCCGGTTGACTAGCCGTTATTTGCTTTTTTTTTTAACTTTTTTGATTTTTTTTTTTTTTTTTAAAATCCGGGTGAACCGCCGGGCCGGGCTGGCGGTTTGGTTCACCATTTCTAAGAACCGGGCCCGCCCCGGGGAGGACGGGCCGATTCACGGGTCTGGGCCGGTTCACTTGGTCAACGGGCCGGTTTGGGCCGTCAACGGGCCGGTTCGGGCCCAAAACCGGCCCGTGGCCGTGTCTATTTTGCACAGCCCCTAAAATTCAAAAAATGGATACTTCCCTTTCGAAATACTATTTTGGTTGCACTGCCTCATAAACCAATTTTTTGAGGACATTGCAACAAAAATAACATCTTATAGGGACAACGTGCAGAAAAGAGTGTTTTTAACGGGCAACGTGGAACAAAAATAAGTTTTAAAGGGGCAGGAAACGTCTTTGCTTCTGTCTATTTTAAACAGCGCGCTTACGATTTGTCGACCAAGAAACGTCAAAGACTACCTCTGCGGCGAGAAAGGGGAGAGAGAAAGGATAGAGTGTCTGTGGAAGATTCTAAAAAAGACGAATTAGACCGATACGAAGAGTTGTGGTTGCAAGAGCTGGAGAGAGGTGGAAAGAGTTTGACATGTTGTTTTTCCTAGTTCATTAATTTATTTGTTTATCTTTTATTTAAATTTAAAAGGTTACTTCAATGTAAATGGATATTTTTATTTTTTTGAAAAATACGAGATAATTTTAAAATACATACATAAAATAATATTTATAAAAAATAAATGTGATGAGATAAAATAATTACTTGAGATAGAATAATATAAACCTCTTTAACCCACACAAACATATATATACTAGTCTGAGGGGCAAAAGGGTCAAAAAATGTGCCAACGGGTATAAAAACAGCTAGTAACAAAGAAGTCAATGCGCCACGTCATCATCCACTAACAGATTCGAAACGGAGGGGCCTTTTTGTTACGTTTTGTAGTTCAAAGGGTGTTTGCGACATACCCCATAGTTTAAGGGTGCAAATTGTAGTTTCCCTCTTTTTTATTATCAAATTTGGTCAACTATTGTTTGTCAGATGGGGGTCGTTGGTAATTGCAAAGACTTGAAGGTTTTTTGGTAATTAGATATTATTTCAGGGGTTTTTTTGGTAATTTACCATAAATATTAAGTTAAGAATCGTTAAAAGAAGGAACTCAATAAAAGAACGAAATTAGCTGTGCACGCAACAAATAAATAAAATAAACTAAAACAAAAAGGGTTAATCTGATTTATTAGGCTGATAAATTCTTTAGGGTTTGTTTATTAATCAGAAGGGTGAAAAATCTTTTGAGCAGAGTACGTAAACATGAAAAGGGCAAGAGTAGAAGACGATTCCAACTCAGTGGACAGAATATCCGAGTTGCCACAAGGAATCTTGCAGCAGATACTGTACCACCTCTCCCAAGATGAGGTTGTCCGAACGTCTGTCTTGTCGAAATCATGGCGTTACAATTGGTGTACTCGCCCCAATCTCAATTTTTCCGACCGCAGCTTCTTCAAAGGAAGCAAACAATATTTTCTATCTGTTGTGCACGAGACTTTACAACGATACCGTGATCAAAGGCTGTGCATAGAGGAGTTTCACCTCAGTATATCGCTAGACGATTCGGATCCCGCGTCGGCTTCGCTTCTCGAAAAATGGATCCCGACACTCGCAACAACAAATAAGGGTATGAAGAAGTTTTGTCTCTCTATTCGTTCGGAACAAGGTTCGGGATCTACTCATCCGCCATCTGTAGTCTTTAAGGCGGAATTACTCCAAGATTTGCGCGTCGAAAATTTGACGTTGGATCGAAAGGCTATTGACCGGATAATACTCTTCAACCATCTGAAAAGGCTTCATCTTCTAGATGTCTGTATCGAGGCGGAGATTTTTCAGAAGATAATCTCGAGATGCCCGATGATTGAAGATTTGCTTGTCGAAGAGTGTCGGGGGTTAAGAAAAATCGAGGTGAATGATCTTCATTGTCTCAAAGACTTATATTTCACCAATTATGAGGTAGTCGAGGGAGATGAGGAATGCTGTAGCATCGAAATTTATCCCCCGTCTCTTGAAACCATCGATGTGAGTTACGGTAATCTTCGGCTCAACAAAGGAGCGGTTTTTTGTAATCTGAAGCATTTGTATCTGCGCGGTGTGGAATTGTTATTGGACCGCATGTCGTCGTGCAAATTCCCGAGTCTCGAATACTTGGTTATTGGCTATTGCAATGGACTGAGAGGAATCAAGCTATTCGTGGATGCCCCAAACATGGTTGGTTTTAGCTATAATGGAGAGTTTATTCCATCCATCTCTTTCGCATCAACTTCGATCGAGTGGAAGTCGAGAATATATCTGCATTTGCGTGATGCTCCCTCTTTGTGGTCGGTCAAGCTTAGAAAACTGCTCAAGTCATTAAGCCAATCTCAAATTTTTCTGTGGATTAATCAAGATGATGATGGTGACGGTGACGGTGACGGTGATGGTGACGGTGATGGTGATGGTGATGATGATCAGGGGCGTACCCACGCCTAAGGCTGGGGTGGCCCCCGCCCCCCCAAGAATTTTTTTTTAAGCTGTTTTTTTTTTTTTTTTTTTTTTTTTGGGTATTTATGTATTAGTTTATACACTTTCGCCCCCCCAAACTTTTAATTTTGTACATTTTAGTCCCTAAAAACAAAAAAAAAAATTCTCTCTTAATTTACCCCTATATTTCCGCCCCCCCAAGAAAACACCCCTGGGTCCGCCCCTGATGATGATGATGATTATGATGATTATGGTGATGATGACGATGAGCACATAATTCAAGAGAACACTAATCTGGTACAAGACAAAGGTTGTGATAAACCTGTTGTGGTCGAGAGACTTAAAATCGAGTGGTGTTCATTTAGTGATATTCCATCGCTTTTCAATGGTGCATTGTGTGTCTGTCGTCCAAGAAAAATCGGTCCGTACTACCGCAGCAGTTGGGAGAAAGAAATGGAGTGTGTGGAGAAGATTCTAATGCAAAGAGAAAGTGGAGACGACCAAGACGATCAACTCAGACAGCTGTGGTTGCAAGATTTGGAGGAAGTACGCATGGAGATTTATGACACGAAAGGGAGAGAATATCACCCGATAACTCTGTCTGAATTGCCAAACTATCATGAAGATAGATACCATCATATTCTCTTTGCGTTGAAATGGAGACAACTTTGTTAGAATCCGCATTGCCAGACGATAAAAAAGAAGCGTGGAGTTTGGGAGTCGACAAATCACTTTTACAGGGAAAAAAATCAGTTTTACAGGATATATAGTCTTTTTTGTCTTTTTTTTTTTTTCTTTTCTTTCTAATTTTATGAGTTGCTACATTTATTCTTTAAAGAATTTGGATGAAATGTTTCACAGATAAGTATTTTTACTTTTCGATTTTGGGCGTTTGGTATTCAAATTAGGATTATCGAATATTAATAGTTCTTCAGTTGTTTATACCAATATAAAATCGTCGTTCAGTTTATCTCAAATTCAATTGTTCCAACGTATACAAGATGGCATGACAACGGGGGGAAGTCACGAGCCCTACATGGATTGGTACATCGATCGGACTCATCTGAAGATCAACAACCTCGACATAGGTCCGGCTCAACTGCATCGAGAGAATGTGAGGCCACGAGATCACCCGACTTATTACCAGATAGTACGTGCATTGTACCCGATCACCAGAAGCACTGGACAAGACTGGATGCAGCAGTTTGCCGATCTACGTGCCGACCTTGGAGATATTATACAGCCCGCCGCCCAATATATTGACATCGACCAGGACAACGACAATGACGACGATGACGACGACGATCATGAGGTGCAGCTGCCGAGGAGATCGAGGCGGTAGTTTATAGATTTTTTTTGCCAGTTATGTATTTTTATAAATTATTTAATTTTAAAGTCTATTTTTATTATTATTAGGAATATGCATTTTTATTATTGTTAGGAACTATTTAATTTAATAATTTGTTTTTATTATTATTAGGAACTAATTATTTTACTAATTTTGTTTATTATTATTACGAACTATTTAATTTACTAGTTTGTTGTTTTGTATTTTGGGGTCATTGCAAATAAGTTCATCAATGGGTATTTATTCATAAAGAGATCTAGACAAAAAACTACTTTACCAATAAGTCCACACATGGTCCAGATTTTTGTAAAGGACTAAAATAACCCCTCATACTTTAATATGCTCCAATTTCATCCTTAACTTAATTTAACCTCAATTTGACCCCAAATTTCACAAATTAATCAATTTTGACCCAAAACTTTTTTTCTTCAAAATTTTTTTTTTCAAAAACTTTTTTTTCCCGCCGGATTTCGGCGTTGACCGGCGGTCAACGCTGTTGACTTTGCAATTTTTTTTTCTTCTTTTCTTTCATTCGGTAACTTTTTTTTTCTCGTTTAAATAGCAATATTGTGTAATTGACAATAATATTAACTATATTATTGTTAAACACAGTAAAATTAACTAAACTACAGTTTAACACATTAATATTGCTATATTAATCTCTAGCACAGTAATATTAACACAATAAAACTCATTATTATTGTGTAATAGAGTAATATTAATATGTTGACCGTTCAACAAATGTAAATATAATAAAAAACCAATAGAATTAATATTACTGTGAGTGACAGTAACATTGCTATAACAACAGTAATATTACCGTCAAGCACAGTAATATTACAATAATAGACAGTAATATTATTACGTTACTCCGTGAATAACTCAAACAAACTAAAAATCCAAACAAAATAATAATATTGATGTGGATGACAGCAATATTACTATAACAACAGTAATATTACCGTCAACCACAGTAATATTATTGTGTTTAAAATAATATTACAATAATAGACAGTAATATTATTACGTTACTCTGTGAATAACTCAAACAAAACAAAAAACCCAAAAAAAAAAAAATAATAATATTGATGTTGTTGACAGTAATATTATTGTGCTTACATTTATTTTACTGTCAACGACAGTAATTTAATTACGTTGACTTATCAACAAATAAAAAAAAATAAAAAAAAAACAACAAAAAATAAAAAAATAATAATATTACATTAATTTACTGTCAACTGCAGCACAATTACATAAATATATTGTCAACGGCAGTACAATTACGTTAATTAACTGTCATTACAGTATAATTATGTTAATTTACTGCAGTGAAAGCACGATTACGGTCAACGTCTAGCGGCGGACGTAAAAAAAAATAAAAAAAAACTTTAAAAAACACTAAAAAAGGTCAACGCCGGAAACCAGCGAAAAAATCCGGAAGAAAAGAAAAGAAAAAAGAAAAAAAAAAGTCAACCCCGGAAACCGGCGAAAAAAATCCGAAAGAAAGAAAAAAATTGAAAAGTCAACGCCGGAGACCGGCGAAAAAAAAATTTGAAAAAAAATTTTTTGGGTCAAAATTGAATAATTTGTGAAATTTGGGGTCAAATTAAGATTAAATTAAGTTACGGATGAAATTGGAGCATATTAAAGTATGCTCCAAAAAAATGTCAAAATTGAATTTTTGTGGTCAAAATTAAATTTTTGTGGATAAAATTGATTTAATTGGGGGTTACAATTAAGAATTGGTTATAAAGGGTTGGGGATAATATTGAATGTTTCATTTATTTATAATAAATATTAAAGGGATGGGCTTATTGGTGAAAGATATATAGTCCCTAAACTTAGAATAAAAAAGATGCTTGGTTGGGGACTTATGCACAAAAACCCCTTGTATTTTAATTTACTAGTTTTATCATTTATGATTTGAATTTAGAAACCACGTACAAATGAAGCAATTAAAGTACACATTTAAACATTCCAAAACAACCTTACAAACAACCTTACAATTTTTTATTTTTTTTTTTGATAATAACAACCTTGGGAAAATTACAGTTTATGTCCCTAAACTTTACCACTAAAACGATTTATGTCCTCAAACATTTCAATCCACGAAATATGTCCTCAAACTTGCCACTTTTGATCACTTTATGTTCTGCCGTTAACGTCGGCAGCTAACTTCGACGGAAAAGCACACGTGGCTCACGTGACGTCTATGTGGCCGTTAAATGTCGAGCTGTACAACACCCAGTGCCTACTTGGTCGACGAAACGTGATGTGGAGCGACACGTCATTCTCCTCCCCTATTTCTATTCTAAAATCCCTAATTCTCCATATCCCCAATGAACCCGTAAATCCAATCCCTAAAACCCCATTTCGAAACCTTCAATTGAGGTGAAATTCGAAATAGCAGAATCGTCTGTGAATCCATGGCCATTTTTCGTGGTGTTTTACCAGCAAAATAGCCCAATAAACAAATGCCGAATGTTTCATCGATTTTACTTTCATCTTCGAGCTGAAAAATCATGTATTCTTCCACTTCGTTGGGGAAGTGGGGAGCTGGAATCCGTTCTTGGGCACTCTATTCTTGGCAAAAAAAAAGAATTATGTGCAGCTTTGACAAGTTGTGCATGTTTTTTTTTTTCCGGAATTGGTTCAGACATTTTGTCGAACACCTTATGGGCAGGTTTTGAAACTGCTGAATGGGGTAGAATTTGTGCCATCTTCACCATCCTTGTGCTCGCTTCATCGAGACCACAAGGGGCACAAGCATCAGCAGGTGAAAAATCACAAGACCTCAACGTTCTAGAGACGGAGTTGGGAGAAGAATTAAAGCTTCCTCTAAATTTTTTTGCACGTGAATCTGCTGTTCTTTGAGAAGGGAAAAACTCTTCAAATATGAGAATGTTTTGATTTTTTATGGGTTTATGAATTCGATTTTAGTATGGGTTCGAGCAAGAATGGAGATTGAATTGAAATTTTGGGAATGAGAGTGAAACGTGATTTGGGATTTGGGAGAGTGAGTTGGAGGAAATTTGTATATTCTTGTGCCACGTCAATATTTAATATTCAATATATTATTTCACGTCACATTTAACGGCCACATAGACGTCACGTGAGCCACGTGTGCTATTTCCGTCGAAGTTAGCTGCCGACGTTAACGGCAGAACATAAAGCGATCAAAAGTGGCAAGTTTGAGGACATATTTCGTGGATTGAAATGTTTGAGGACATAAATCGTTTTAGTGGTAAAGTTTAGGGACATAAACTGTAATTTTCCCTAACAACCTTACAAATTTAATCATTCCAAAAAACATAGGTTAAACATAAAAAATGCAAAACACAACACTACAAATTTGAATATTCCAAAACATAAATTAAAGATTAAAATGCAAAATTAAAACAAATACAAATTTAAACATAAGTTAAACTTTGAAATACACGGCAGATGGTTATGATTACCATTACTCACACTCAATCGCCATAATCCATCCTACGTTGATTTTTTGCCAATTAACCCGAACGGACAAGAACGTTTCTTCACTAGTACGTGTCGTCCAGATTGATATCTTGCACACGTTAAAACATGATATTTTTCTGATTTACAATGATTAGTCAGTCGATGATTATGACTAATTGCTGTGTCTTTTGCCCACAAAATTAACGCTTCTCTACTATCACACACAATACCACGTTCAAAGAAGTGACTATAATCGTGAGATTGTTCTCTTAGTTCCTGCATAAATATTTGAAATTTAAAGACAATATTTAAGGGATTTCGTATGAAATAACACGAAATGTAAGCTACAATTTCGTGTAATAACATACGGAATAAGAGCTTTAATTTCGTAGGTTTTACTACGAAATGTAAGCTTTCATTTCGTAGGTTTTACTACGAAATTGACATAAAACGTAATTAAATATAAAATTTTGTACCAAAACCTACGAAACAAACAACAAACAATTTTAAGACATATTTCGTATAGTATTACACAAAATGGAGGAATAGATTTCGTGTGAAATAACAGGAAATGTCTAAAAACGTTGGAAATGAACAAAAAACGTGTATTTTCACCTCAAAATCGAAGCCGTTGTCATCCACGTTGATAATACTTGTGCTCAAACTGATATTGGTCGAAAAATTATTGGATTAGAAAAATTTCAAGGATTAAAGGTTGAGAGTGTTTGATAGGGGGTTTGGATAAGATTTGGAAAAGAAAAAAAATGAATTATTTTGCACTGCGAATGGTAAAAACCGCACTGATAATAGCAAGCCACTTTATTTATTTGGGCAAATTACGTAAAACCTCCTGAGGTAAAGCCTAGTTACAAAAAACTCTCAAATGTTTGTATATTTATAAAAATCCCCCTGTGTGCAATGTCTGACAGTTTAAGTTACGAAAATTCAACACGTGCATCCAAGTTAACACACAAATCAGACGGTGGATGAAAAAAAAAAAAAAATTGAGAACCAATTTCGTGCCAGAAAAAATGTAAGGACCAAAATAAAAAAGGGTGTATAATATAATGAAAAAAATTGTAATTATTAGGGGTGGAAATTGGAACTGAATTATCGATTTCCGCCGATTCTGGTCCATCTTATTTTACGATTTGAGAACCAATACTTTTCATTCCGAATTCCGGAATAAATTTGTTTTTATAGCTATTGTCCCTTTAAAATGTTATTATTGTTGCATGCTGGCCCTTTCAAATGTTATTTTACTGCATATTACCCCTCTAAAATGTTATTTTGTTGCTCGTTGCCCACCAGAAATTGGGTTTTGGGGCAGAATGCAACTAGATAAATATTTTAAAGGGGGTCGTCTCGTTTTTTAATTTGTAGGGGCAGAGTGCAAATTTAAAAAATTATAGAGGGCGAAGTCCATTTTGTCCTTTTTTTTTTATCAAATTTCGTAACTGTTTGTCATATGAAGTCATTGGTAATTGCAAATACCTGAAGGATTTTTTGGTAATTAGATATTATTTCAGGGGTTTTTGGTAATTTGCCATGAATATTAAGTTAAGAATCCTTAAAAGAAAGAACTCAAAAAAAGAAGGAAACTAGCTGTGCACGCAAGAAAGAAAGAAATAAATAAATAAAATAAAATAAAACAATGTAAATCACCGTAAGCTAATTTTTGGAGGGCATTGTGCAACAAAAATAAAATTTTAAAGGGGCAATGCGCAAAAAGATAATGTTATTAAGGGTCAACGTGCAATAAAAATAACATTCAAAGGGGCAACATGCAACAAAAATACTGAATTCCGATGAATAAACTATCGAATTTTTCTATCGGGGCAATGCATAACAAGAATAATAGTTTGAAGGGGATATTCACTTTTAAAATTTTGAGGGGGTAACATGCAAAAATTAGAAATTTATAGGGGGTGATGTGCAATTTGCCTTTTCGTCTATTAGAAAAGATGAGGATATTAGGATTTAGATAAGAATAATGAAATGGCTCAAATGCCCTTGAAGTGGACGAATAAATGGAACTCCGATGAAAAAAAACACCGGAAATTGTGATTTTGTGGCAAAGTGCAATTGCAACAAAAATTTGGAGGGAAGAGTCTCTTTTATTAATTTGTAGGGGGAAAGTGCAAAAACTGAAACTTTTAGGAGGCAAAGTGCGTTTTGTCCTAAATATTATTTCAGGGGTTTTTGGTAATTTGCCATAAATATTAAGTTAAGAATCCTCAAAAGAAGGAACTCAAAAAAAAGAAGAAAATTAGCTGTGCACGCAACAAAGAAATAAATAAATTAGTTGTAAGCATGGTTGTCAGAACCGGACCGGACCGGCCGGTCCGACCGGTTCGACCGCGACCCGGCATCTTGGCGGTCTGGTTCAACGATGAAAACCGGAGGAATCAAAAACCGGGGTCAGAGAGTAAAAACCGCCGGTTCGATCGGAAAAACCGGAGAACCGGAAACCGGTGGAAGACCCCGGTTTTTGTCTGAAATGGTGCTTTTCGAAGTGTTGGGTGGCCGGATCTGGACTGTAATGCCGAATCTTGGGGTGAAGGCCGATAAACGTCGACTAAAATCGGATCTAGTTACTATGTCGCCGGAAATGAAGAGATGTGTAGAGAAGAAAATTGGGAAAGAAAGAAAAAGGGAGAGGAAAAAAAGAGGGCAGATTGCTTTGAAGATTTGCAGAGGAGAGAGAGAATAGAGAGAGAGAGAGAGAGTGGGGAAGGGGAAGGGGAAGGGGAAGGATGTGGCGTGGAAATCAAGAGTGAGAAAAAAGGACAAGTGAATTTAATTAATAAGAAAAATTGTAAAGTAAAAAATTGTTTGAAATATATAAATAAATAGAGAAAATTGTATTTATAGTGAAGAAGTGGAGTCAAATATATAAATAAATAGAAAATTAATAATTTTGAAGTACTAAAATTTATAAATAATTATAAAATAACAAAAAATAAAATACCCGGGTTGAACCGGTCCAACCGTGACCCGAATGCCTAGCCGGTTTTATGTCCGGTCCGGTTCTGAGAACATTGGTTGTAAGTTTCAGAAACTAAAACAAATTAAAAGGGTTAATCTGATTTATTAAAACAAATTCGTTAGGGTTTTTTTATTAATCAGAAGGGTGAAAAATCTTTTGAGCAGAGTACGTAACCATGAAAAGGGCAAGAGGAGAAGACGATTCCAACTCAGTGGACAGAATATCCGAGTTGCCACAAGGAATCTTGCAGCAGATACTGTACCACCTCTCCCAAGAAGAGGCTGTCCGAACGTCTGTCTTGTCGAAATCATGGCGCTACAATTGGTGTACTCGTCCCAATCTCGATTTTTCCGACCGTAGCTTCTTCAAAGGAAGCAAACAATATTTTCTATCCGTTGTGGACGAGACTTTACAACGATACCGTGATCAAAGGCTGTGCATAGAGGAGTTTCACCTCAGTATATCGCTAGACGATTCGGATCCCGCGTCGGCTTCGTTTCTCGAAAAATGGATCCCGACACTCGCAACAACAAATAAGGGTATGAAGAAGTTTTGTCTCTCTATTCGTTCGGAACAAGGTTCGGGATCGACTCATCCGCCATCTGTAGTCTTTGAGGCGGAATTACTCCAAGATTTGCACTTCGACAATTTGACGTTGGACCGAAAGGTTATTGACCGGATAATACTCTTCAAGCATCTGAAAACACTTCATCTTCTAGATGTCCGTATCGAGGCGGAAATTTTTCAGAAGATAATCTCGAGATGCCCGATGATTGAAACTTTGCATGTCGAAGACTGTAGGGGGTTAAGAAAAATTGAGGTGAACGAATTACATTGTCTCAAAGACTTATATTTCATCGAGTATGACTTACAAGAGCGAGATGAGGAATGTTGTAGCATCGAAGTTTATCCCCCGTCTCTTGAAACCATCAAAGTTAGTTGCGGTAATCTTCGGTTCAACAAAGGAGCGGTTCTTTGCAATCTGAAGCATTTGTATCTGCGGGGGGTTGAAATGTTATTGCACCGCTTGTCGTCGTGCAAATTCCCAAGTCTCGAACGCTTGATTATTGGCCGTTGCGATGGACTGAGAGGAATCAAGCTATTTATGGATGCCCCAAACATAGTTGATTTCAGCTATAATGGATTTTTTATCCCATCCATCTCTTTCGCATCAACTTCTATCGAGTGGAAGTCGAGAATATATCTGCGTTTACGTGATGCTCCCTCTTTGTGGTCGGTGAAGCTAAAAAAACTGCTCAAGTCATTAAGTAAATCTGAAATTTTTCTGACTATTGAACAAGAATATGATGGTGATGGTGGTGATGATGATGATGATGATGATGATGATGATGATGATGATGATGATGATGATGATGATGATGATGATGATGATGATGATGATGATGATGATGATGATGATGATGATGATGATGATGATGATGATGATGGTGATGATGATGGTGATGATGATGATGATGATGATGGTGATGATGATGGTGATGGTGATGGTGATGGTGATGATGATGATGATGATGATGATGATGATGATGATGATGATGATGATGATGATGATGATGATGATGATGATGCTGATGATGATGATGGTGGTGATGATGACGATGAACGCATAATTCAAGAGAACATTAATCTGGTAAAAGACAAAGGTTGTGATAAACTTGTTGCGGTTGAGAGACTTAAAATCCAATGGCCATGTTCATATAGTAATATTTCATCTCTTTTCAATAGTGCATTGTGTGTTTGTCGTCCAAGAAATATCGGTTCGTACCACCGCATCAGTTTGGCTAAGGAAATGGAGTGTGTGCTGAAGATTCTGATGGAGAGAGAAAGTGGAGACGACCAAGACGATCAACTCAGACAGCTGTGGTTGCAAGATTTGGAGGAAGTACGCATGGAGATTTATGACACGGAAGGGAGAGAATATCATCCGACAACTCTGTCTGAATTGCCAAACTATGAAGAAGATAGATATAATCGTATTCGCTTTGCATTGAAATGGAGACAACGTTGTTAGAATCCGCATTGCCGACGGTGAAAAAGAAGCCGCACACACTCGAGAAATCACTTTTACAGAGAAATCACTTTTAGAGGATATATTGTCTTTTTTTTTCCTAATTTTATGACTTGTCACATTTATTCTTTAAAGAATTTGGATGCATTTCCTGAATAAGATCTTTAATTGTGAATCTTCTATCTGTTCGATGAAATGTTTCAGAGATAAGTATTTTTACTTTACAAATTTGGACGTTTGGTATTCAAATTAGGATTATCGAATATTAATAGTTCTTCAGTTGTTTATACCAATTTAAAATCGTCTTACAGTTTATCTCAATTTCAATTGTTGCAAGTTTATTTTAAACAACTGATAAGCTCTTACATTTGATAAAATATTTGAAGAGCACATCAACTTTTTTGTCTTTCAAATAAATCCAGCTCATTCAAACTTATTTGCAAATAAGGAAAATTATTTTATATTTACCAAAAGTACCCCCAATTCAACTCCAATTTCATGATTTACACCCTAATTTAACCCAATTTCATCAATTAACAAATTTTAACCATAATTTCAATTTTGACCCCCAATTTTGACCCGCCACACCGGAGACCGCCGGTCGCCGCCGTTGACCGCCGGGTCTCCAGCGTTGATTTTTTTTTTTTTTGTTTTTTCTTAAAAAGAATATTTTAATTAATATTACTGTCTAGGCTGCTAAATTACTGTCTCCAACAGTTGTTTAACTGTCGGAGACAGTAATTTAACTGTTAATTGACTTTTTTTTTTCTTCAAAAATATTTTAATTAATATTACTGTCTTGGCTGCTAAATTACCGTCCCCAGCAGTTATTTAACTATGGGAGACAGTAATTTAACTGTTAATTGACTTTTTTTTTTTAATATTACTGTATTCGTTGTTAAATTACTGTCTCCAGCAGTTATTTAACTGTCGGAGACAGTAATTTAACAATTAATTGACTTTTTTATTCTTAAAAAAAAAAATTTTTTAATTAATATTACTGTATTCGTTACTAAATTACTGTCTCCAGCAGTTATTTAACTATCCGAGACAGTAATTTAACTATTAATTGACTTTTTTTTATTAAATTTTTTTTGTTAAAAAAAATTATTTTAATTAATATTACTATTTTGGCTGCTAAATTACTGTCTCCAACAATAATTTAACTGTCTTAGACAATAATATTAATAAGGGCAAATTGCAGTTTGCCCCCTCAAAAAATGCCAGTTTTGCACTTTCCCCCCTCAAAATAGAAAAATGAGACTCTCCCCCTTAAAAATATATAATTTGGTGCACTTTGCCCCAAATGTGTATTCCCGGTTTATTTCTCACCGAATGAATGGTTTATATGTCATTTTACATCTTTCTCTTGAGAATCCTCCTTTCAGAGTTAAGTAGGGTTCCCAAATTAACAAAATTATCTTCCCAAATTGATGATATTCGCTTCCAAGTTAGACGAAATTTTCTTCCAAATTCAACAAAATTTGTTCTTTGTTCTTCTTAATCATTGTAATGTAGGGTGAAAAAAGATTAAATGACATTTAAAGCCTTAAAAGATGATATTACGCTTCCAAGTTACTCATATCCGACAAGAATTAGCTCGAAAATACACATTTGGGGCAAAGTGCAC